TTACTTTTCTTTTCTTTTTTTTTAAAAACTTTTTTTTCTCTTGAATTTTTTTTCCGACCGGTCACTGGGTCTCCGGCGTTGACTTTTTTTTTTAATTTTGTTTTTTCCTAAAAACAATATTTTAATTAATATTACTGTCTTGGTTGCTAAATTACTGTCTCCGACAGTTATTTAATTGTCGAAGACAGTAATTTAACTGCTAATTGACTTTTTTTTAAATATTTTAATTAATATTACCGTATTCGTTGCTAAATTACTGTCTCCAGCAGTTATTTAACTGTTTGAGACAATAATTTAACTGTTAATTGACTTTTTTATTCTTAAAAAAATATTTTTAATTAATATTACTGTATTCGTTGCTAAATTATTGTCTCCAGCAGTTATTTAACTGTAGGAGACAGTAATTTAACTGTTAATTGAATTTTTTATTCTTAAAAAAAAATTAATTAATATTACTGTATTCGTTGCTAAACTACTGTCTCCAGTAGTTATTTAACTGTCGGAGACAGTAATTTAACTGTTAATTGACTTTTTTTTTGCAATTTTTTTTCGTAAAAAAAATATTTTAATTAATATTACTGTCTTGCCTGCTAAATTACCGTCTCCATCAATAATTTAAATGTCTTAGATAATAATATTAATAATATTACTGTTCGGGGAAATAATATTCATAATATTACTGTCTCTAACAGTAATATTACTGTCCCAAACAGTAATATTACTGTCTGAGACAGTAATTTAGTAGCCAAGACAATAATATTAATTAAAATATTTTTTTCTAAGAAAAAAAATTCAAAAAAAAAAAGTCAACCCCGGAATCTGGCCGGAAAAAAAATTCAGAAAAAAAATTATTTTCTGAAAAAAATAATAATTTTGGGGGTTAATGTGATATATTTGTTTAAATCCGGGGTCAATGTGTAATATTAAGGAAGTTAGAGCATTAATGTAATTGATACGAATTATATTATGGAGGGTATTTTAGGTTAAAGACATGTGAATGGGTTTAATTGAAAGACTGTTTTTTATTTAACCAAAATATATTTAAGTCCTATGTGATGGGTTTTTTTGGCATTCGCCCTTGATTAATAATAATATAAAAATGGGTTGTATTTAAATTCCTTAATTTGGCCTAACTATTTTTCTTAAAAATATATAATCAGCTTCAATTAAGTTGATCTGCTTCAGCCACGTTAGCATCATTAATATTCAGTTCAACTAACTTGTAATACAATATTATTATAACAAGGGCAGTGAATTTGCTTGTACGTATACATGGTACCAATTTATTATTTAGGCATCATCACAATAATTTAATTAAGCATTCTTCAATTAATGACAGAACCATATTTTCATTGAATGTTGTATAATGTGGAGACATATAATTGGATGTTTCGTCACCAGATTTTCTAAGCTAATTAATTGATGGTGAGTTTTCGTTCTTAATTAATTATCATTTTTCAATTTCGCACTAGTATATCAAAACAACTAAAATAACTTTGATCATCTACTGATCCAATAAAAGATAGTTTAAAGTGACAAAAAATATGTAATAAAAATATTAGAAAAAAAAGACAGTTGTTATATATATAGTTGTCTTAAATTTATATATCGAAGCAACTAAGAGTGAAATCATCCGAACTCAGGCCTTAGTCGGACGAAAATTTAATAAACGACTTATATATATTAAAAAAATGTAAGATGTTTCTTGTGGGACTTGTTATGATCAAACTATTCAAGATTAATAGCTACAAAAAATAATTTGGATTAGTCCCCACTTCATATTTAAGAACATTATTAAATTCAATATAAACAGCTAGGACTTTGATTAAAGATTACCTAATTATTGGACATATATAGTACCTAAACATTCAACATTTTAAGAGAGAGAGAGAGTACAATTAAATATTGTCATGTACATTAGGTGACCAAACAAGTTGTCCAAAGTCCGAACTAAATAAACACAGTCAACTTCGGTTCCTTAAAAATGGTGGAAACATCCAAACGAAATAAATTAATATTTCTCGTACGATTTTTGTGTTGTACATTGTGCTTTTCTTGTGGGACACAAGTTTTATTTTTTTTATCAAAATAAAAAATAAAAAAAAAAGGAAAAGGAAAAAAGTGTGAGAGAAAAAAAGCATTTGGCTTTTAAAATTCAAAAACTTTAATACTGATTTACAGAAGAAAAGAGAATTCCTTTAGAGCTGCTGAATCAAAAAGGTAAAAATGGTCGGTTAAGAGGCGCATCCACCCAGCTTGTGGGCCACGTGACGGGCTCGACGCCAACCGCGGGCCCGGATCTTACTACATACTTTGGCCTTTTTTACCTCTTCCCGGCTAACGGTCTTTCAATATTAAAATAACCGGCCGTTTGTTTCAACTTTATCTTTTACTATCTTTTTTTTTTTTAATAATAAATATAGTTACTTTTAAATCATATTGAAATATAATATTAAAAAAGATAAATAAATTACACCCGAATACCCGGTTCGATCTTCAATTACTAATCTGACATTGTAAATTATAAATATATCCGTAAATTATGAATCAACAACTTACCGAGTTTTATGATTGCAAGTAATTCTAAAAAATGCTAGCATTAGATCAACTTAGAGTGTTGAAGTAAGATGAGCTGGAAGAGCATAGTGGATTACACTGACTCACTAGCTTGATGACATTGAGATACCTGCGATCATAGAACACGTGAACTAGGCCAGGGGTTGATCCGGCGGAAATCCCTCCGACGCTCAAGTCAGACGTGCGGATAGTAGAAATAGTCCAGAGAATATATGTTGAAGTATTGCTCAGATAATTGGACGTACCTTAAGGAATGAGTTCAAACGTATATTTTATAGCTTAATTGAGTCAAACTTTACTTGAAGGTGATTGAGCCTCGGTGTTAATAGCCTTAAATATTGGATTTGTGGCCAATTAGATAAAGAAATTGTATGCACATAGGGTTGACCCAATTAAGCATATCAAAAGGTTTACTCAAGCACAAAATTAAAAAAATTAAAAAAATTAAAAAAAAAATTACCGAGATGAAACGGTAAAAAATAGAAAAAAAATGCTTATTAATTTATATAAAAAAATGCACTAATTTATTTTTGTAGAGAAACCAAACAGAAACCGGTCCCAGTTGATTAGACAGATCAAAATCATCAGATGTGCTTATTACATCCATCTTCAACAATTAGCTTATTAATTTAATTTATAAGTACTAATGACTTAAGAAAGTCAGAGTCAATTAATTTAATTATAGTTTGACCCACACGTGGGCCAACCCACATACACCACAAACTGCAAGCGCCAAGGCCCCTTACAACGGCCCATATTTCACACATTCCCACAAACCGCGTCCCTTTCATCCGGGCCCACCCACTTATATATATTCTGTCTATTTACCATTTCGCCCCCCACGAAATTCCATTTATCCTCCTCACGTTCCCTTCCCTTTTCCTTCACTCGCAGTTGTGGAATATTCTTACTTAGCTTAAGCAGTTCAGCTCATTTCTCTCTCTCACACAAAAACACACACACACACACACACACAGAAAAAAGAAGAAGAAACTTCATTAGTTGTACTGATAGTAGATTCCGATGGTCTCGATGAGTAGCTGGATCTTATCCATGAAGGTTATTCTGATTTCAGCCGGAGTTTTATCCCTAGCTACCGTGCTGAAATTTTCTGTTCCTGTCGCGGTGAGTGGTGCTCCGGCGGCGTGGTCCTTTCTTCTATCCTGGCTCAAGCCTCCTTATTTGTACTTAATCATCAACGGAATCATCCTCACCATCGCCGTGACCTCGCGCTTCCACCACCACGGCCAGCCGGCGGAACCGTCGTCCCCGTCGGCAGCCGTTCGATCTCACCACTTGATTTCGGTCAAGACGCCTCCTCCGTCGATTTACGTGTCGTCGTTCTCAGTTCAGTCGGATATCAGCACTGCTGCTGAGGATCCGTCTCCGGCGCCGGCGCCGGCGGAGGCTGTGGTGCCGGAGGTGGAAGATGATACTGAAGTTGTAGAATTGAAACCTGTGATCGTGAATGGTTCAATGGTCGATATCGAAACAGATGAAGAAATAGTCGCTTCGAACGAAGGCGAAGACGTATTTATCGAGTCGACGTTCGCCTACAACACCACCCTGCCGGAGGAGATAATTTCTCCAGAGGTTCAATTGCAGTTTCCGTTGCCGGCGAGGGAGAAACCTCTGGTTTCCTCTAGATTCGGTCACCGGAAACCTAACAGAAGCAATCCAGAAGGTAATTTTACCAGGATAAATTCATAATTTTGTATTAATTAATTAATATCCATTATTTGAAAATTGAATTTGGAATCTTAAACGGAAAAACCTATTTTTACGGCGAGCCACAAAACTCGACGGCGTCGTTTTCGAATTCCCCATGGCAGTTTTGCTATTGCGTTCGGTTTAAGCATGCAAATCAAATGTTGCGTCATTAAATATATTAATTAATAATTATCTGTATAATTAAATAATTAGAGTTAATGAAGTATTAATTTTTGGGTGCGTTCCAGCAGGTGTGAGGGCACTGCGGGTGGCGAGGCCGAAGAGGCAGGAGACGCTGGAGAGCACATGGAAGATGATAACGGAGGGGCGTCACGTGCCTATCACGAGGCACCTGAAGAAATCCGACACGTGGGAGCACCACGCGGACCCCACCACAGTCGACCACGTGCTCAAATCGGAGACGTTCAAGGACCGGAGCAACTACGAGGCGCCGGCGCCGGCGAAGACGATTAGAAAGGAAGCGTCACTGAGTCAGGACGAGTTGAACCGGCGAGTGGAAGCGTTCATCAACAAGTTCAACGAGGAGATGAGGATGCAGAGGCAAGAATCATTGAACCAGTACAAGGAGATGATGAACGGTGGGGCTTAGATATTCATTATATTTCATATTTATTCATTATTTTTTCTGATTACAATTAAAATTAAAGGATTATGACCAAAAAAAAAAATTTGTTTTTATTAATTTTGATTTTTGGGTTTTGATATAAAAAGCTGGTTAAGTTAGTTGATTGGGAAAACGATACAGTCAGACTAACAGAATATTTAGGTAGTGTCTGTTGTAAGGTGATAATTACAAGTGATTGTTCTTTTGTTTTGTTTTTGGTAGGTGTGTATATGAATGAATTATTTGTAAGTATTATTTATCTATTTATTTTGTAGTTAATGTATTGCTACATTGGTGGATGGTTTATAGTTCTATTTGTTGTATTTACAATCATTTTTAAGATTGTAATTAATTACTAATTACTGGGAGAATTGCACCAACATTACATACGTATGTATATAATTCAAATAGATAGATAAATATTTATAATGTAGAATTATTACTGTGAATACAGCACGTTTTTGCAACTTACTTTGAATTATGACAAAGAAGAAGCAAAAGAAACAATGCAATAGGAAACTGGTGGAAGCAGAAGCATGATCAGTATAGCAAAGAGCATTTGAGTAAGTATATATATATATAAAATTTATGAAGCAGCGCCATTCTCAATGGTATACTCGGTTCTCAGAATAAGAACGATAATGGTGATGAGGATCACCAAAGCAACCACTATAGCGATATATGCCTGGTTCCTTGTCTCCTTCTCGTAATCATTCAGCCCACCGGTCCCGCTCTTGGCCGCCACGTGTCCGCCGCCACCCACCACCACCACTGGATAATTCTCGACGGGGCTAGGCGGCCCTGCGCCGCCGCCTTTGCTCCCTCCAGTCTGTCCATCCGCTGCTGCAGCAGCCGAGGCCGGCACCACCGGCGTCGCTATGCCTAGGAGTATCTGGTGCAGACCCATCAGACTCTTGCGAGTCTCCTTCATTGTGTCCCGCCTCTCCTGAATCTCCGCTACGGCGTCCAGCACCGGGCCCCGGCCGTGCTCCTGCATGGCGTGGTGGAGTGGGCTTTCCGGCACCTCGTTCGCGATCAGATTGTCGATTGCTTCCGCCGTCGCCTTCTCTCTCGTGATTCCGAAATATCTGATCCATTTTGAATATTATGTAATTTCCAAAAAAAAAAAAAAAAAAAAAAAAGTGGCTAAATTATGAAAAAACGCCCAACTATATATGATTTAGCCTGTTAATTAACTGATTTTAATTAAATATATAGTTTCTTTGACTTCGAACGTGATTTTGACCATTTTTTTTTATCAAAATTTGGCAAAACTCAAAATACGGATTTTATAGTTGTTTGAGTTATCTTTCTAATCAATTTGAATCACCATGATTGGATGTAGTGTGAGGAAAATATGCAAGAATCGACGGACATTGGCCACAACAATTCACGTGTGAATTGAAAATGGTAATAGTAAATTGAAACGTTCAGTAACGATAATTCCACCTGCTCTCGATGAGTTGCCGGTGGTCGGTTTCCATGTTGGCCCTAAGTCCTTGGAATTTGCGCATGAGCTGCTTGACGTCCTCACCCAAATCGGATATCATATTGGCACGAGTCTGGTCATCACATACTCCAGACCCGGTCGCCGCCACCTTGCGCTGGGCAGCGTTGGCCCGAACAAGCCCGTCGAATTTCTTATTGATTTGTTTAGCCAGCTTGAGAAGATGGTCCAGGTCAGCGTTCAACCGCGCCCGGAGCTCCTTCATGGCTTTGGCATTTTGCGCAATTTTGATCTCCTCGTTTAAATCCTGCACCTTGCTATAGAGCTTATTGGCACCGTTTATATCCTCCTTCACCATTTCGACTTCTTTTGAGAAAATTTCCAAGCCATATCCACCATTTCGGCCCATCTCCACATCATCCGGGTATGTTTGGCCGTCTTTCGGGTCCACGTAGATCTTAAATGAACCGTCGAAAGCGGCACCCCCTTCCATTTTTTTAATCTTTTTATGTTTACCCCAAATTCTTCAAGAAATGTGCTGTTTGGTCCTTTATGCGGGACGCCAGCCGAAGATTTCCTGAAGATTTGGGGCAAGAAAACAAGGGGTTTCTTTTCTTCTCCCCCTTGTTTTGATTATCTTTCTTCTTGTTTTCTTCAATGAAGAAGAAAAAGAAGAAGAAAGAGATGGATACAAAAAAAGGTGGACCACAAAATAGAGGGTGTTTCCAGTTTAAGGATGATTCATTTAGCCGTACAATTATTGCCATGCATTGGTGGTAATTAAACCAACTCTCAACATTCTGCCAGCCATTCAATATTCATACAGCATTCTGACTGTCCGTAAATAAAATTTATTTTATATTTATTTTTGGAATAAAGATTAATTATAGGTAAATACTTGCCAAATAACAAATATTTAAGAATTGAAAATTTCAAATCCATAATCCAATTTAATTGACAAAGTCACAAAATGGACAAAAGAAAGATCTACTAGTTAGTAATTTGCATTCTATTACTGAAAGTATATATTAAATAAAATTTAGAGCAAATAATTACACATACCAGTTGAATTATCTTCAATTCCCTTCTCAATCCTGAACATTTTGCTTTTTCACACAAACACCGGTCGACAATAGAATGGGGATAACGATAACTGTGGATGGCAAGCAGCTAAATTAACTAAGCGCCTTAACTTTCTACCTTTTTCTATATGTACGTAACAGTTTTATCCATCCATGCGACGGGGGACAAAGCAGATTAGGTTAACGAAAATTCCGACTCCGCCAAACTGACTGAGGCCTAACCATCTTTCTGCATCTGCTTTCCGACTAAGTTTCCAATAACATTAGACCCCAAAGATTTCTGATGCTGTTTAAAAACTCCATCAGCAGAAAATGAGGGGAACAACGAGCATTTCATCTTGGGCGGTGCTGAATCTGACACAGGAGACGAATCTTCCTCCCTCTCTGGCTGGATGTTAAGGTCTATTTGACCTTTCAAAGGTGAAATTTCAGATTTTCTCTCGTTAGTTTCGTTAAGATAGCCCGATTTACTCACCTTTCCACGCAGCTGTTTTGGTTGTGATTGCAAGTTGTGACAAGAAGATTCGGCTTGCTTTTCCATTTTTTTCCTGTCTCGACTCTCCATCAGAGTTCTACAACGACGCCTTAATGAAATGCAAACCATGCAGTCGCACGATTGCTTGTGCTTAGAGCCTTTACCACTGGGAGGTTGAATGCAGACGATGCATGTACAGCCAGGTTTGTGACGAGGGTGTTTTGTCCTGTTCTCGGATGAAGCCTCCCCTTGGATAGCTAAGTTAGCAAGTGCATCAAGTCCTTCCAGAGCAACTGCCAGATCCCCGTCCAGTTCGGTGATCTCATTTATCGAAGAATCTGCCCAAATTTAATAATATTTCAAAGATTTTAAGAAATGTACTGAATGGCTGCAAAACAAGAAAGAAAGGTGCAGACCTTTGTTCATGGTGGGTAGCATATGTTCCAGCTGTTCTTTTGTTAATTCCTCAGCAGACGAACACAGAGATCTGATACAGAATGTATAGAAAGAAATCAAGAAAGCTCGTGTAGACATACATACTCACAGCAAGGAATTTACAGTCAAAAAGAAATATGGGACTGGGAGAAGATTTCATATAGTTAAATATCGGGCATGCGAATTCAAATAACTGAAAGCTAAAAGATGGAGTAAAACCAGAGTACAAATATCCAAACACAATTCCCAATTTCATTACATTCGTTGTTCGCAATAGAGCAAGGTTTGCATACCTGTCAAGGTCCCATTCATTCTCTGAACAGATCCATCTCGAAGGAAGAAGCGCATCTGCAGGCACTTTACGCCACTTAAAGCAGTCCTCGCATTGAATCCACTGGATCTTTTCACTGAGACATGAAAGAATTCAAAATTAGCATTTTACCGTGTAATGTAACACAAACGACTGCCTTGAGAGAATGGGGGAGGGAGGGGGAAATTTCAGATACTCAGAAAAGCAAACGAACTTACCCAAAGTTATCTACCCCTGGAATAGTAGGCCTGCCAATAACTGGCTCAGCTTCCTGAAAGAGAGAACCAAATCAAGAGCAGGAAATAAAAAAAGTGTGGCATGCTATATTCAGTCGTGTAGCTCAATCAGACACAATGATGACAAATATCCATCCAAAACCCAACCCATAATGTACATGAAATCAAGTGACAGGTAATCATCCAAAAAAGTCCATATACATTGTAAATTGTAAAAGAGAAGTTACAAGTCCAACAATAACTTTCGAATTGGAATTCAGCCTCATTCACAAGCGAAAAATTACAGAATGGAGTGCAATTAAGTTTTTCAAGTTAAATTCCATGTACCTCAAATTCTTCGAATTCACAACCCTCTACAACAACAAATGACGGGACAATTTTTGCAGGTGGGCGCATCAATCCTTGAGCTTCCTTCCAAGTGATCTTCAGCTCTATCATATCTCCGTCATCAATCCTAAGGCGCTTACTTTTCGCACTGAAGTTGCTGTTCTTCCTCTTATTGTGAATGGTAGGTTTATCTTCAAGTATTTTTTCTGCAACTATACTACAGTTGTCAATTTCAGACCATGCTTCCCTATCTATTTTGGTATCTTGGCTGACCAGCCGGATGATATTTGAAGATTTTGAGCATGCTTGAAATCACCTTTCAAATTGACTTTTCGAGATTGCCAAATACTAACCTCAATCTAATACCCTTTTAACCTCAATTATTTAAAAATGAAGTGACAATCTTGGAGAATGACCTTCTTGTTATGAAACACTTCTATTTTAAATAGACTTCACCAAGCATTTATTTATGATGCAAAAGGACTTCTCCAAACTGCACTTAATGAAAAGTTGATCTAGTTTACCTTTCTCGTGGCCATTCACAGAAATAACATCCACAGAATTATATCTACCACTACCATCCCCTGGAGGGAAGGTGTTATTCCCTACAATAGAAATTTCAGCTCCCTGCAAACCGAAAAAAATGCTATTACATGAAGAACTCAATATTGCACTCATGGATAAAGAAGCATAGAAAGTATCCATCAACTTTATCATTCCCGTGATCAAATTTAAGCAGATTATATCTCCTCTTCAAGTGCAAATGTAGTAGACTTTGTCGAAACTTACAATTTGTAGTTCTCCCAAATTCATGACAAATAAAAGTGAGAAAAAATGTAATATCAGCATGTAGTATTGGAGAATCACAAACCTGATCTGATGATGGAATAGCTAAAGCCTTTCTGCCACCCATGACCAACTTTCCTTCTGGCTCTAGCCTACTAAACGTCACTGGAACAAAATATCATCAAATCATTTCGTAATTGAAATAAAACCAATGGAGCAAGGAACACGAGTCAAAAAAACTATGTCCAGTACCATGAATATCCAAATAAAACAATGTCGAAGAAAAATATGCCTATGCCTATGTTTTGAAAGCAAACCAGCAAATCAGTTTGGTAAACAAGGACGTACTTTGATAGCTAAAAAGGAAAATTATATGTATTGCTACAATAGCAATGGAAACATTGATGCACCAGTAAAAATGGTGATGAAACATCAACATGAGGAAAATTTCTAAGTTTGGAGGTACTGATGGATTACCTACATCACCAGCTTGAAGTTGCATTGATTGTATACAAGGAGTAATTCCTTCCAGGACATACATTCTGCTGTTGTTATTCGGCCAAAACCGAAATTGAAACATCCATTCATTCCCTTTCACATCCAGTATGGATAGAGGTAATCCTTCTGGCTGAGTGATTAATGGAAAATAAGCCTGTTTCGTCATCAATGAGTAAATTTTATTAAGATGAAACTTCAAAAGCATTGACCACATCAAATAAAACCTGAACGTGATAGATAATAACTCACCTCTGCACATTTTTTTGGCAGGACTAAGCGCCCAATCCTTCCAGCATCACTTGCACTTAACATTTTCTCAAACAACGGAGTAATAACTGTCTTTGAGCTAAGAAGAAGCTAAGGTGAAATCTAGGTAACAAATTGCAGAAACAAACAGTATTTAAAGTCAGTGGACTGTGCAGCTCAAATGCTAATGCAAGTTCAAATGGAAAATTAGGAGGGTATAAGGAAAACAGAAGCTCGAGAATTTTTATTCTCATGATCATTGAGAAACAAATAAAGATTATGAAGCCTGCTACAACCATAGGATACTCGCTAGAAATTTGTTGGAACTCCTCGCCAACTATTTGAGGTCGGTACCGAAGGAGCAACTGATCTCGGACTCTGCCATCTCCTCTACCCTTTCCATTACGCATATGAGTGTCACCAGATAAGTCCATTCCATTGCGACTGCAAACCTTTTGGGCGACAGGAATCGAAATAGCCGATGATGGTGGGAGAAGACCACATATATGTTCATTGCCTGTTTCGGTTTTTGATGAAGAAACTGTGGCCAATTTCAAATTAGCAGAAGAAGAGTCGTTTTTTGGGAATACTGGCTTGAAATTATTCACAAAGGAATAACGTTTCTCCTTTACATTGAGCCCTGTAACAAAAATGTAAATATTACTGACCAAGGACAATATAAGGTCGAGCTAAAAAGTAAATAAATTACCCGTATTCCCGTTCTGAGGTTTTTCAAAAAGGCCATGTCTCATATTTCCATTAACTAATCTTTCAAACGAGGACCCTTGTTTCATCTCAGGTGAAGCTGTAGATAATCTCTCACAAATTCTATACCTATCAATGCCACTTGATACATCTGCCTCAACGGGCATCCTCAGTTTCATGTTAGATGGAACATCCGAACCATTGAACAAGCTGGGAGCTTGACGCCACGGTACTGGACCTGAGCCAACAATAGGACTCCAACTTTTCGCAGAAAGGTCTTTCATTCTTTCGGGCTGCGAAGGAAGGAAATGCAAAGGTGGTGGCCATGCAGGATTTGGGGTCTGAAAAATGCAGAAAGGTAAAGAATCAGGGACTGGTCATGCCAGAATGTAATAGCAAAACAATATGAAATCATGCAATTAAGTTCTTTTTTCATCTGATGCATTACATATAAAACTCAACTGATCAGGAAACCATTTGAAACTACTGTTTATGGTCATCTGAGGCACTCCAAAATATACGAGCAGAATGTATCCTCAATAATATAGATTAATCATCATTAAGGCCTTTACTAAATAAGCTTCAATGACAAAATTCAATTATACAATCTAGTTGCCTTCGGAGTTACCAGGCCCTTAAAACAACTCATCTGAGTGATTTCAATTGTATATGATGAACCAACGACCTAAACCCCCTTTGTGTCCCCAGACAGATAGCACTACGGATGTGTAACACTGTAAGCATAAAACTAGAAAAGGAAATGTTAAATTGTAACTTTTTCTTAACGGAACCTTTCAATATATCAAGAATGCACCTCCACCGCTGGTATGGAAATTTAAGTTTAGTATGCAACAACAGTTCTCCAACTCAATATACTTTGAAACAAAAGATATCAAGCAAAAGAGACATTTGATAACACTCAAGGTTTTCAACATGAGACAGTAGTAGTTTAAAAAGATATTGTCTTACCAAAATGCAACCTTTTGCACATGTTAGGCATTCTATTCCTCCGGCATCCAGTAGTACGAACATATGGAATGAAACTATACATCCACAGTGTATTTGCTGCAAGAGAGAACTTACTATTCAATATTTACAGATTCTCTAATATCTTGAGTAAAACCCGAAAATTTAAAAGCTACGTTACCTTTCCACAAGATTCACAGCATCTCCACCCAGAAGACTTCAAGTGGAACGTCTCACAAAATTTTTCGTCCTCGTAAACAGAACTAGATTTGCATTGAAAATGCGTTATATTCAAAGGAAGTGGCGAATGGCCTAATATATTTAACGAAATCAAAGTGATTTTCCAAATATATGCTCATGGAGACGGAATCACGATGCGACACCTCATATAAAGTTGAAAACACATTCCAATTTTGGAACAAATCACATAATATCTTCACCATATTAAAGTCAATTTCATCCAAGAAAATTTGATCGATCAATGGTGTGTATTTGGAGTTGCCAATGTCGCACCAAGTACCATTCAAGCCAAGTATTAAGAATATGAATAATCGAGCACAACAAATGACACATTTGTTGCAGATTTTAGACAAACGATTACAATCTCAGACCACATTACAACCATTTGAGCAACGTAAACAATTCGATCAACAGGAATTCACATTTTCCAGGATTGCTTTTTTTACTAGGTTTCTTTTTCAAGTCAAAACCTCACTCTCCACTCCAATTACTCTTTAAGGCAATATAAACATTATAACCAAATTATAAACAAAAACAACTACAACATTCTGAACTCCAGACCTGAAAATACAGGTATTCTAAATTAATCAGACAAGCGATTATTTGCTAGATGCTAAAAGCTGATTCAGTAAAAGGAAGTTCAACTCAAAAGGATTTATAACACAATCCAAATGCGAAACTCCAATCCACACCTCCAGCAAGTGGAAATCATACCCGTCAGAACACTACATATCCTTCATTGCAACTCAAAAAACAGGAACACATTCAATAAATCCAACTTCTAACTACTGTAAAAAGAAATTACAAGCCAAATCAACAAAAGGAAAGCAAACTCTTACGCGCAGCGATCACATAGGTGAGCGTACTCGCCAGTGCGGCGACGCCAGCCTCTCCTCCACTTATCCGACGGTTCTTTGCATTTTGAATTGAAGCACAGCTTCGTCGACATCTCACATACACAAAAAAAACCCTAACGGAACACAAAAAATAAAAAAAATGTATCTAGAGAGTAGCCAAAATAAAATGATTTATTTTTTAATAGGCCGGAAATAAATTGAGCAGTAAATTCCCACATTCAAGTATCCTATCGACAATTAAACCTGTAAACCCTAGGTGGAAGCTAGAGAGAGAAACTGCAATCGACTACAATTAATTTCAAAATCATTATAAGAAAGGAGGGGGTTTTTAGAGAGAGAAAGCTAGTGTTTCTGAAACTCCGAGTAAGAAAGAGTGTGTCTGTGTGACGCAAGGAGTGAAGAGAGCAATTTGGCATACTTATATATATATATATATATATGTGTGTGTGTTTTTTTTTCTGTGCGTGCATGCGTGTAACACTCCCCCTCTCTCTCTCTCTCTCCTCTCTCTCTCTAGTGGGGGGTAGGGGGGTGGGTGAGGGTTGGGAAAGTGACCTTTGGGGGGAGGTACTGGTGCTTTTATGATGTTCAGCGTCGTCGTTTCTCAATTTTACTTGATGAATTGTCGCCGCCTCTGCGATCTGTCCTGTCTTCTGTAAATTTTTTAAATTACTAGCTACTGTACTATAATTGTTAAGTTGCAACTGAAGCTAAATCTTTTTAATTTTCTAATTCTTTTGCCTAATTGTTTTGATTTTAGCATTTTTTTTTTCCAAAGAAAAAGTTATTTGTTTTCTTTTTAATTTGATTGTTATATTAAATAATGTAATGAACATCTCGTATTTAGTGTAAGATAAGCCAAGATAAAACCATTATAAAATAATATTTGCGGGTGGACCGACAAATTATTGAAGATACTATCATCAAATAAAGCTCAATTATTCAGTTAATTATGATTAATTTACCTTGTGGGACAAGCCCCGAATATACTATTAAGCTGCAAAAGGCTGACAAGTGATATGAGTACCCTTAAATGTATAGTTTTTGTGTTAGTTAATCAACTACACTAAGAAAGTTGGAGTTATTATTCTTTTCATTATTGTATTTTAAATAAAATATCAATTTATGGATTTTTAATCTTTGCTTCTACTAATTTTCTACATCAATTTGACTATTTGGCATCAACCCACCAAATATAAGGCTGTTTGCTGTGTATATTTAGCAATTTATTAATAAAGTGTAATTAAATAAAGTGCAAATGGTGCATAAATAGATGCATGCATGGGAATATTGCAGGTTCAATTTAACTTTTCCATTGTTATAGCACTAAAGAAAACAGTTGTGCTTTTGAGTTTTCACTACTCTATTATGTCTAATTTTCACAAAGAGTAAAGGGGGTTGTCGTTTTCTATTTTTATTTATTTATTACTATTATTGTTGTCTTACCAACTCATTGTATATTTTTTACGAATTAAAAAGACTTATCAATATTGGTAATAATTAGCTACTACACTCAAACATAAACGTTACACATTTTACACGCATCCAGAAACATTGCAAAAAAGAATATTAAATAACTTTGTTTAATTTATATCCCAAAGTAATAAGCTGGAAACCGAAAGTTGATCGAGGAAAGCGGAACTTCATTTTTTTTGCCAAATACAAACACTATACAGTCTGTACTCTGTATATATACTGTAGTCTATACATGAAAACACATACATTATCAATTATTTGTGAACTTAAATACAAGCCACGCGATGCTTACCGTTGCGCAAAAATCCCGAAATCAACTCTGTTCTTTTAATAATCTTCAGAAAGAAGGGGGAAATCAATCTCGAGGAATAGGTATTAGATCGGCCAAATCAAGACTAGGAGCAAATAAAGTAGCCAATCCTTGATCGACTTTAATGAGTAGTTTGTCATAACTCATTAGTGTCTTTTCTTCGGATTTGTATGATCCTTTCCCTCTAGCTAGAACCTCACCATCTACATCTATTATCCCAGCTTTCGTCTGGTCATCAACTCTCGGGCCGGGCTGCAAAATGAATGCCTTCACCTGTTCATTTCAAGAGGTCAAGATTTTTCTAAGGCCTCGTTTGGTTGGTATAAGATGAGTACATGATTAGATGTTTGGTTAGTACGATAAATTTTCAGGCAGGCCCGCAATCATGAAAAGACGAGCTCTTATTTTGGCTTATTATTAACCATATGTGCAATTATACAATTGGGCTCTTATCTTGGCTAATTTATATTGTAGGAGCCAAACGAGGACTAAGATTAAAAATGATGAATGCACGCACCTTCAGGTAAGATACATGTGGAGATTTAACATGGCTTCCATCGTTCAATCCATTCATCAACATTAGCAAGGATAACTTGGGACAGTCCTTTATCATGATCAGGTCCAAACAACCATCGGAAAACTGCATACCAAATAGAGCGAACGATGAGATTCTTATTCATAAGTATTTTGGCTAGTTAATCACCTCATATTTGTCCAATAAAAAGTAAACACTTGGTAAAATCGAAAAATATGAGATATAATAACCGAAAGACTAAATTTATGTACATGAATTGAACAAAAACCTGAGCATCAGGAGCTGCCATAGTATCTTCACCTCCCCATGGTACATTATGAAGCCAGATTGAAACAAAAGGTCCATTAATCTTGCGCCAGTTCAAACTCTTCATATCAACTTTAGGACCCTGGTAACCATAGTCCTGGGTTGTAACAGGTCCATCGTCAGATTTCGGTTTACTTTCTCCTTCAAAAATGACTTCCTTCTCTACATCTATTGGTTCTCCATAAGATTCAAAGCCAGATGCTGGCACAAAAATAATGCTGCCGTTATACTTCCTAAGACCAAGTATCCGCTGAAGACCCTGAAATAATAGTAAGAATGTCCCAGGACAAGATTTATGGGTATGGTAATAATTAATTCCTGGGAATCAACGATACATGAAAACAATTAGAACAGAACAGAACACCAGACAAAAACTTAGAAACCTTTTCAAAATTTCACATCAGACATATTAACAACGTAAAGCCACAAGCAATTGGAAGTAATCTCAAATAACTAAATCAAGAAACACCAAGTATCAAATACAGCCTATATTTCTACAGGAAACCTTTTTGTTGGCTGATGTACAGCTTATATATTAGTAATTTACATACTAATATATAATAGAAGTACAATGCTCCACCTTTAGAAAAATGCAGAACAAGTAACTGAAAGATCACAAACATATAACTTATACCTGGCAGTACATAGGTTAATAATTACGATTGCTCAAAATATGATTTTGAAACATTAAAAGGAAATAGCAACTGTAAAACTCACATAAAAATCTAACCGAGCACTTCCCATCCACCTGTATTTCTCAGACTCAATATCAATATCAGCCACGAGACCTGCAATTATATCTCAAATATAAGTATACATCATAATAAGTAACTAACACAGTCTACTTACATGAGCAAAGATTCAGTTTATTTTCCCCGGTAAGACTCGGTTTACTTGTTTAAATTATTTATCCAAATGAATTAGTAATAAGAATATGAAAACTGAAATTTGAGCTACTGAGAACATTGCACAAATTAAATGGACGGCCAATACCCCATGCCAGCATTAACATGCTAAAAAACTTGGTGTCCCCTTGTGATATAGTAGCTACATCCAGTGAGCGCTTATGCCCTGCCATATGTGAGCAAGCAAATATTTCCATTACACTAAGTTTTAAGAAAAATCTCAAGAAAAAAAGAAGCTGGTAACAGGCAACATGGCAACAGGAAGAAAAAGAAGAACTCAACATACCTCGAATAATAGACATAGTTGCATTAGATGCTGCACAAGGTTCACCACACGAATCTAGCAACGACTTCACCATGCCATTTCCAGTTCCTATTTTGCTTAGAGATGTCATTTCATATTTTCAAAGCTCACAATCAGAAATATCTTTAAAATAAAAGATATCACTTATTTAAATTGACTGCTACTGCTATTCACTGAGACGAACTCCGAACTAATACTATAAAGATGAGTCAATGTATCATTGTGGGACAAATTATGTACATATGATTTTAGCTAAGCAACAACTATTTCTAGAACCCAACAGTTGGTTTAAGTAACTCCCAAATGACTACATATTAAATGTTAGTTAACACCATTCCGAAAAAGGACTGCTAGAAATATGTCATGAAATTGGGGAGAAATGATTACATGGTACTGGATAAAAATCGAGCTCTAATAAAAAAAAAATATACGTGTTTGTTGATTTGGATATTTATAGCATGGTGGGCTAAGAAATGAAAAGATCTTTTAGTGAAAATTTCACTTTCTTTTTATTATGAATAAAGCGAAACTTACTCAGATATAATTTTGATAATATTCGAGAAGAATCTAACCTGCAGGTACCACTCCGAGAGGTATTTTAATTGCATTTTCCCAGTCCTCCCTGATGAGCAGTCCATTTAGTACCTACTAAGAGCCGTAATATATTGAGAAACAATGAGGAGGTGAACAATATTTTTACCTTTCAGAAATTACTTAACAATTATCAGTTAATTTTTCTAAGAGCTTATGAATTCACGAAAGGGTTGCTGTTCATGTACTTCCATTTCCATCAGGAGAACAATCGGATGGCCTATTAACCCCTAAAAACCAATATCCCGAAAACCTACATCAGTACCACGTTTGAGTCTGGAAAGCCCTCCAGTAAGCAATAATACATGTTTCTCCATGGCTAGATTATAAATCGAGCGAGTGTTTTTCATCAACAAACATTAACTTCTCTTGATATCATTTCATGGTTTACCCTAGAGGTAGATTGGTTAATCCATAGTTGGAATTATTGTGCATAATCTCACTTTAGCTCCTACTACTTACAACAATACAGATTAGGAAGTTCAGCCAATATAGCAGCTAAATGAAACAACTAAACACCAGAAAAGGCATGGATCACTGACTTTCTTTAACTGACCAATTAAAGCCACAATTTAACTCAAATTTACCAGCAAAATGATTTCAAAGTTAGTCGCAAGTTACGAGGCATAATTATAATAAATCACAGAGAACATCCATAAATATGTGACCACAAATAACCAACCTACCTCAACCAGAATTCCATCTCCGCTAACGCAAACAATTCCATCATATTTTGCAAGATCCAGCGACCGAGCAACTTCCTTCGCATGAAGCTGGTATTTAGTTTCTGGAAATACGAAAGTAGATTCAATACGCACATATATTTAAACACTATTGCAATTTTTGACTACACAAAATAAAACAAAAACCGAGCATCGACCTTGTACAGTGTACTCAACACTGGCATCATCAAGCAAAGGCTTCACATCACTCACAAAAATCGTCGACGCCGACTTCTTCCCTCCGTACGGATTCACAAATACGAATAGCCTCTTCGGCCTACCTGAACCCAAAAACACAAAACTGAAATATAAATAACGAACTGATCAGAGGATCTACGCAATCGGAATTGCAAATCACTCAACACAAAATCCAAATAACACGTAATCAATCACATCAAAAGGAGATAATCACGCAATCATCGAACGCCCAAAACTTTACCAAGAGAATCTAGGTATTCCTGGAGTTTCTGACTCCAGAGGCGAAGAGAATCAATCGATAACAGCTCGAGAGTGAAGCACTTCCTAATCAGTTTAGTTTTGTCGCCGGAGCACCATGATCCAGCCGCAGCCTCCACAACAGCTCTAATCTTAATCTCGGATCCCTCGACAGAGAAGCCGAGGACCTGTTTCTTCACGTCCAGCCGCCGGTCGCCCCACCCCAATTCTCCACCGGAAGAAAGAGTTGCCGCCGTAATGCGGCCGTTAACGCGTACTTGCTCCGAGAGTATGAATTCCCCAATTTCCGGTTGATCCATAACGAGATTTACTCACTGCTTTATCGGATCATAAATGTGAACGGGTTTTTGTGTTGGTTTTTTCCGTTTTGGACTTTTAGTTGTCCCGTTGTCTACTTTGCTTGTTATTCTTGTTGAATTTATTTCCGTTAATTAGTTCATTTATTTGACAAAATCAATGTTGAAAATAATCTATGAGCAATTAAGGTAAAATTGGAAGAGGTTAAAAAAACTAATTAATGTTTCATTAAAATTATGAAGTGATGAATAATATGAGTACTTAATTAGAAACTCGAAGAATATAATTATTAAAAAATATCACTCATAATATTTAAGCTAGGTATAATTAAACTTCTTTAAATTAATATAGTTGAGACTAATAAAATTTTATTAATTTAATGAAAATTTAAATTATCTAACTAATAATTCAATACGTTTTTATCGAATTGGGAATGAAAAAAAAAATATTATTTAAATAAAATTATTAATTTATCGAGATTTTATTATATTCGTTAACTTAACATGGGCTTTAATTGGATCTAAGCTTATAATTGTCGACGCCCGTTTTATAATTCATTGGGCTAGACCTATAAAAAATAAGAACAATTTGTAAATAGTTGATTATTTTTGCAATTCGGCCCGTTATCAACACACGATTTTTATTTGTACGTTTTATACAGAGTAGGTAGGAATGTAATTTTCAGTCACGCACCCGGCTTCTATAAAATAAAATCTTCTTTTGGGGTTTCTTCTTTTCCGTTGTTGCTCATCGAACGGCTGCAACTCTCTGTCTTTTCGTTTCCCAGGTTCGTTCACACACCTACATGCTTCTCCGATATGTATATATAATAACTATTTGCAGATCATTACGCTGTTCGTTCGTTCGTTCGTTCTATTATATAGTGAATATTTTATTTAATTTTTTTCCTGATTTCAGTTTGTCGTCGCTTGGTGCTTGTTTTGTTTGATTTTGCTGTCTGCCACGCTTACAGCGTTTCATTCTTTGTGTTAATTTCATGAATGTAGACTTATTTACATGGCGGAATTATGTTGATTTTATTGGAACTAAACCTAATTTTAAAAAATATGCTTTGTTCTGTATCTGTGAGTTTGCTCGAAACTAGTAATAATAGAATAAAAAATCAAATTGTATGTTGTAGTATGTGTCGGGTTATGTTGATCGTTCGACGTATACAGTCGCTTGCTCAATACTGAATTTTCATCCTTTAGTATACGCTGTATATGTTTCCGAGTGTTTTATAGCTATTTATTTTTCCTAAATATGCTTGATTTATTTGTAATTTTGTGTTGAATGTGTTCTCGCTGTATATTGATACTAATTCGATGTTCTGTGTCTGTGAGTTCGCTCGAAAATAGTAATTGGAAAAAAAAAAAACAAATTGTGTGTTGTAGTATGTGTCTTGTTACGTTGATCGTTCGACGTATACAATCGCTTGCTTAATACTGTATTTTCATCCTTTAGTACACCTGTTTATGTTTCCGAGTGATTTATAGCAATTTATTGTACCTAAATATGCTTGATTTATTTATAATTTTGCGTCGAATTCGTTTCTCTATATTTATACTGATTCGATGTCTCCTTTTAATTTGGTGCAGAAATGGAGTCGCAAATTAAGCATGCTGTGGTTGTGAAGGTGATTGGAAGGACTGGGTCTCGTGGGCAAGTTACTCAGGTGAGGGTCAAATTTATCGATGATCAGAATCGTTTCATCATGAGGAATGTCAAAGGCCCCGTTAGGGAAGGAGATATTCTCACCTTGCTCGAGTCTGAACGAGAAGCTAGGAGGTTGAGATAATTGATTCGTCTTACTTAGGAGTTGGTTGCTTTTGCGAATGTATTCGATTTTGTTTCTGAATTGACATTGACATTGACTCTCGTGTTTACTGTTTGTTTTTTTGGTTAAAACATCTATGTTTTGGGAAGATATGCGTTTTTATTCAGGAAGTTCGGTTGATCTATGTTTTTTTGGGTTATGACTTCTTCCTTTTGAGTTAAAGATCGTTTGTTCTTGGTTTCATTTTCTGGCGATAGAGTATATTTAGTGTTATACGTACATAAAATTTTGCTTCTTAGAGATGTGATTGATGATTCATCTTTGCTTATGCAATGCCGAGCCTTTTGCTAATGTTTTCGATTTTGGTTTTGAGAAGACGAATGTTTTTTCGTCGTTTGATCTATGTTTTCTTTTGAGGCTATGACTTATCCTTTTCAGATAAATATCTGATGTTGGTTTGTTCTTGGTTTTGTTTTCTGGCTAATAATTTAGTATATTTTTATCTAGTTGGGACCGGAAGAAATTATTAATTTATCGAGGTTATATTAGGCGTTGTTGCCTAATAATCAAAGCAAAATACTCAACAATGACATTGAGTGTGGTGTTAGGTTTGTTAGAGTGTTAAGTTTTGTTAGAGTGTTAATTTTTTTCTAATATATTCTATTGAAGTTGAGTATGGTGTTAGGCTTGTAGATTTTATTTATTTATTTAATTTTTTTTGTAAGTTTAAGACAAGTTATTTTAATTGTATTGACTCTTCTAAGTCTTCTTGTTTGCCAGTAAATAAATTAAATCAAAATTATATGGATAAAATTAATAAAATATTAAAATGCACAAATTATTTTTTATAGCCAATAAACGTCCACCCAATCCTAGCCATCATAATAGAAATGTTTTTAATTTTCTTATATTTTTATTTTTTAATTAATAAAAAAAAAATGAGCATGAATTTCCGAGAGCATTCAAGGAAGCTTCACAGAAAGCTCTACCTCCTTTCCCGGCTGTTTCAATTTTTCCCGCTTTTCCATTTCCGCTTTCCGCTCCTTTTATTCTCCTTTTTCACTGTCGGAATCTTCCCACATGCTCTCCAAATTTCACTCAATCAAAACAGTTAACAGTTGGCGTTGTTAATTTCCAGAATCAGATCAGATCTGAGATAGTATATTTTTATACTGATCATTGATTAATTAATTAATTAATTAATCATTGCCTTACGGAGCTGTAGATTCTAGAACAAACACATAGCGGGAGAGATGCAGGCTCGGTACATCGGAGCATCAAACGGTATGGCGGCGAGGGAGAAACGGAGTTTGGATGCGAGCACTAGCGAGGAAGGCCAGCCTGATCGGAAACGCCCTGCTCTTGCCAGGTAATTTTACTAATTTACTATTATTATTATTATTATTAATACACGCTCGGTAAACTCCGTTCTGTTATTTTTTGGGTAATTTTGTATAATGTTCGTGTTACTTCCTACGGTGATTGAATAATTACAATTGTGGTTGCGTTTATAAGTTGACTGGTGAAGATTGGGGGAGAGAGTTGACTTTTTGTAGTAGTTCTCAGTTTTCAGATTGGTTGATTTTGGCTGTTTTGTTTGTGCTTCTCTGTTTGCTGTTTGTAGTGTATGTTTTCGATCACTATTATTCGTCTCAACGGTAGCGACGAAGCAATTTTTATTTTATTTTTTGTCCTCTTTTTTTATGAGATAAAATTGGTAGATTGAACTTAATTTTGATGTTAGTACTTTAAGAGAATGCTTAGTTTATTAGAGAATGTTATTCCATTTGTACATTTCGGGTAAATACTATAGAGTCTCGAATGTTTTTGTGGTTGTTTGTTCGAGAGTTGCCACGTGTTGTATTTCCGTTGCTAACTGGAGTGGTTGAACATTCTGCTAGTATAGTTGATGATTATGCGTTATTCACGAAACAGTTATTTGAACTAATGAAACGGTGAACCTAACTATTGTGCAAAGTAAACACAATCTCGATATAGATTTTGATAATAAGAAGAGGGAGTACCTTTATTTTGTATATATATATATATATATATATATATATATATATATATATATATATATATATATATATATATATATATATATATATATATATATATATATATATATATATATATATATATATATATATATATATATATATATATATATATATATATATATATATATATATATATATATATATATATATATATATATATATATATATATATATCAGTATTTATGTGTAAGGAAGCGATATAGATTTTGATAATAAGACTTTGTCTTTCTCTCTTTTTTTATATATATATATATATATATATATATATATATATATATATATATATATATATATATATATATATATATATATATATATATATATATATATATATGGCGGGGCATACTTAAAGATGATATTGAGATGCTATTTCTGGGTCACTCACTTATAGCCTACGCGCGGACCGCCCGCGTGCGCCTCGCCCCCCCCGGGCGCCCGCTCC